AAAAGCAGGAAAGAGAGTGTGTCGAAATGGTGAGATAATTTTTACTATTAGAGAACACCCAAAAATATTTAGAGTAAAATTAAAATTGAAGACAGAAGAGAGTAAGCGGTGAAGCAAGCCTGTATTAAACTTAGTGTGTTATCTTTTTTTAATTTTGCTTTTTTTATGGATGGAACTCTTACAAATGCCTCTTACTTTTTAAATTAGACTGGTTTCTCTCCCCCCTCTTCTATTTTTCATCTTTTTTCATATTTGTGGATTATGATTTCCTTTCTTCTCTTTTTACAATGCTCAGCTGGGTTGTTAGTTTTTAAGCACTTTTTTTTCTTAAGCCTGGAATTTAAAGAGAGGGATAGAGGCAGAGGAAAAAGAAGCAAGACTGCCATCAAGAGGCTTGGAAACATTGTTTTTTTTAATTTCTTTTGAACATTCAACTCATATTTAATACTTCAAGGCTCCTGATAGTGGGAAGAGTACGAATTGTTTATACAGGTGCTCTTCTGGAGTACTATCAATAGCTGGACTGAAGTGAAGAGAAAACCTTGACTGAAAGATTATAGTGAACCTGTTTGAAACTTAACAAAAAAGCTTTGGATGTTTTAGTGGCAGTGTTTATAACCTGGCGCAACATGAAGAAGAAAAAGAATTAACATTGCAAATGATTATGTTTGAAATTCAAAAAGTACAAATAAGTACAAAAAACATTGAAAAGATAAAGGGAAGAGTTGAGAATATTTATAAAACGATGATGAAATTTGAAGATAAAGTTAAAAAAATTGAAGAAAAATATGAACAAAGTGATAAGAACATTGTTGATATTGAAGTAAATCAAGCTTGGTTGGAAATGACAGGAGTGGAATGTTGAAAGAAGTGATTAACGAACTGGAACCCTATCTCAAACCTGAAAACATGGAAGAAGAGAAGGGAAAAAATTTGGCAGAAACGAGAGAAATTTTGGCAGAAGCACCGGTGATAATTAAAGGCAAGCGGATGAAAGGAACAGATGGAGGGTTTCGAGTCTTTATAATACGCAAGGAACAAGGTGCCAAGAGAAGTCCACACAAGCCTTATTATACAAATGCCACAAATGGCAAGATATATAGGACTGCACTACTACTGGAAGGATACAGGGTGAAGAAACAGAATAAAAATTAAGTTAAACTTAGTTAAAATTAGAATATTATGTATAAAATAAAGTAATAATAGTTATAACTAAATAAATGATTAATAATGATAACAATGCATATATAATAGATTGATCATGAAATTTTATATAAATTCTAAGTGAGGACTATGGAGTGGATGTTTAAAAGATCTGTTATAAAAGATAAATAATTCTATATAGAATATAAAGATGTAATACTATTGGATGATTTCAGGATGATGTAGATGCCATAATATAAATTTATCTTAAATTTAGAATATTTTACATAAAAAGGATATAATAATAGCTATAGTCAATTGAATGTTCAAAAACCATAACAATTGTATACATACATATTAGAATGATGATATGAGTTTTCATGTAAATTGTTAAGTGAAGACTATTATGAGAAAGCACAAAAGTTTTGTAACCAATCGACGCACTGTAAGTAATTGGAGAAGGATTTTTATTTTATGTGTGTTTATGTTTGTATGTTTTATGTTTCTCTAAAAATAAAAAACTTTTTAAAAAAAGTTAATAGGCATTTCTCTTCTCAATTAAGGGAAAAGGTTACTCACCAATGGTAGTGACTTTTGAATTCCAGCAGGCTGGCGAGGTTCTTGAGTGCTGGTTTCCTCTAAAGAGTGGGGAAAAAAACCAATTTTAGATTTTTTTGAATGTCAATTATGCAATGTCCTATGGAAGTAGTACTACACATAAGCCCTTTCTTTGTACTTCTTAAATTTCACATATATTTAGAGCTGAAACCCAATCCTGGAACCCAACAGCCTGAAACTAGAAAGGACCATGATGAAAAGAATGCAAGTGACTTTCATATCTAAATCCAAAAAATGAGGGGCAAGAAATCTATTCCCACATAAAGGAGGGGAAAGGACTTGTAATATTTAAATTTTCTCACATACAGTGGGGTGGACTGTTAGAATCATCAATGGCTGATATTCATTATTAGGGTTTCTTTTAACTGCCATAAGAGCAATTATTTTATCCAAGCTTTGGCCTGGATTCTTCCACTGGTGGTGGCTCAGTTCTAGAGAGAAATGTATTGCCATGCCTTGCCATGCCTCTGCTGAACAACAACTAGCATTCTAGTCAGCATGATCAGTGGTAGACAATCCTGGGAGATATAGCCTGCATTAAGTATTAATGTTTTCAGGACAATTCATTCTGGCTGTAAACCATGCATTTTTTTCAGATTTGTCCATAAATATACAACCGGGTTACAAAACCCCAATCCTCGGCCCACTGGGAACCGGGTTGTGCAGCAACAGGCAAGCACAAGATGCTCCATTTGCACAAACAGCAGGTGCACATGCAAAACTATCTGTCAACCATCCTGTTGGCATTTGCAGCAAAAGAAACCTCTACTCGCTTGACACAGCTTCTCCCTGCCACGGCCACTGCCAGTCCACAGAGTCGGAAAGGTTGGGGACCACTGATCTACAACAGTGGATCTCCTAAAGCTATTATTCAACACCTTTAACATCAACAACAATAGATATTATACAAAATGACACACTACAATGCATTAATAAAGAGTAGGAGATGGGAAAATAAACCATAAACAGCAATGAAGGGAACGATCCAGGATGTAAAAATACCATTCTACTTAGGAAATATTGATGTGGAAGTACTCTTTATTAGATTGATTATCTTTTTATCTTGCCTTTATTACTTTATAAGTAACTCAAGGCAGCAAACATGCACAATATTCCTTTCTCCTCCTCTTTTTCTCCACAACAACCCTAACAAGTGGGTTGGACTAAGAGACCATTTGGCCCAAAATCACAAGCCAGATTTCATTCCTTGCATCAGAGGTTTCCAACCCTGGTCTGTGGAAGTGGTGGGTGTGCTGTACTTGTGAAAATAGTGTGTTTGCACACACTAAACCATCCCCCCTGCCTCTGCCGGTCCACCAAGCCACAAAAGTTGGAGATCACTGCCATACATGAATTAATAGTCTCCTGGTTTCTAGGCAAGCACTTTAATCACTGCACTGAACTGGCTCTTCCTGTGTCACAAGCTAACATTACTTAAATAGTCTCCATACCTACCAACAGTAAAGGTATCTAAAGCATCCAATGATCCCCCACTGGTCCCAAAAGCATCTAACATATCCAGCCGAGACTCTGTGTAAGGGAGCAGCTCTAGTGAATCCAGTGAATCCAAAGGAGACGTGCCACTGCCCCCAACTGGTGTTTCAAAGGTATCCAGAACAGATGAAGATGAGAGTTGCTTTGTAGTCTCCATCACTAGGCCAAAGGAGGCAGGTGGCAGCGGTGTGGAGACTGGAATGTTAGCGGTCACCACAGGAGGAAGAAGTGGAGTACCACCTGGAAACACAGGGATGAGCTGGGGCACCTCACTTGGCAGATTGGCAGGAATGGCACCACGGACAAGAGACTTTAGGGAAAAATAAAATGTGTTATGATTAAAGGGAAGAAGTTAAAACATTATTTCACACTTTCCTACTTTACGTTTTTAGACATGTTGAACTTTATGACAGATTCACCTATGCACCACCATCTCTGTGATGCAAGATAGGATATAGCCAGATAAGACAAAATGTTACAGAGAACCAGTTCACTCTAAAATTCGTCGGCAATTACTTTTTCAAATGTGGCAGCAACATCAAGCACTGACTAATCAAATGCTTCTGAAATGCTATTTAAGACTTAGGGTGTGCAACACTTTGAACTCAAGGCAAAAGTGGGTGTGAGAGCATAACCTGCTTGCAACTGTTTAACCAGCTGTGTCTTTTTCTAAGGATGGAGGAACAATGAGGAAGGGTTGTTATGCAATCTTTAAAAAAAAGGTACAGCTGCTTTAAAGAGTTGCAGACTAATGCTACATTCATGACCCTGCACGGTCTGAAACCTCTTTTGTCTCTAAATACAAAGTACAGCTCTACAAAAGGTTATGCTTATGCTGACATTAATTTAACCATGATTAAAGCTAACTAGGTATTCTGGGCAACCTTGAAATAAGTAGCATAACTGAACAAAGGGAAGCAAGTGCACAATAGCCCAATGATCCCAGGGGGAACAGAAGCTTTGGAAAGTCATAGTAAAGGAAGGAAAAGACCAGCAGAAAAACAATTAGCTTGAACATGTATCCAACCAGTAAGCTACTCCAGGCTATTTTTATGGGAACTGCAATAGACTGGAGACAGATCAGCTCAGATGAAGAAGAACATATGGACAACACCACTATTATGGCCGCCTTTTGGCTGTGAAAGAAAAACTGTTGAGACTGAGCTCCAAAAGGTTTAGCTAGCTAAGCTATTGCATTTGTCCAAATTTTACTATTTTTAATAATGGCTGAGATGGGTTAGGGACTGTATGCAAATGCAGGTGAGCTCTGTCATTAAGTGATGGATTTCCCTATACCAGATATCAGAGCTCCCTTTTTAAGACAATTTGGGAAATGGGAAAAGTGCAACTAGGAAGCCCTAGTAACCTTTAACAAACTATGTCCATTCCTTTACAACAGGGGTGTCCAAACTTGGGAACTTTAAGTCTTGTGGACTTCAACTCCCAGAATTCCCCATCCAGCATGGCTGATTGGGGAATTCTGGGAGTTGAAGTCCACAAGTCTTAAAAATTCCCAAGTTTGGACACCCCTGCTTTACAGCCTCAGGAATGGCACTGCACTGCAACTCAAGGATTTCTTACAACCCCAGAGCCACAGCATGCCAAGAACCTCCTTTGTGCTTCCTGGGGTGGGGCTACTTAGCACTGTGCTGCTGAGACTTCCCAGGGTGTGCGAGCCAAGAAGCATATTCTTTCCTCGGCCTTCTCATACCCTCTTTCTCAGGTCTCCTTGAGGCTGTGCCACTATGAAGAAACCTCCCCAAACACATATGCAACCTGTGCCAGACCACTCCTGCATTTATTTGCAACTCCCTCTGCTTCCTGCTTAATGACCCATGTGTCTGGAGTTACAATAGCACCTGGGACTGCCGAGATGGCGGTTGCTAACGAAGATGTCACATGACATCATGCTTTACGACCGTATCAGTTAGTGACAGAAGCTCTGGGGCCAATTGTGACCATAAATTTAATTGTACACTCAAAAAAGTGGGAGCTAAGGAGAGGAACTATATAATCTTAAAATCTTCAATTGCTTATACTTAGATGATTGCAAAAACTAAGATTGCACTAGTCCTTGCTCTGAGATAATGAACAATTCCATGTATCGTTATGTAACTGACATCACAAATGTCCTCCATTACTTAGAAGGGAGAAGTTTAAAAAGCAGTGATGGAGGGTTAGCAAGGAATGTACTAAGTAAACCCTGTAATGATTAAGACGAAGAGGCTAGAGAGCAGTGACTAAAACAGAGGCGCATCTACAAAAGTCACTCTTACTAGTTGGTACTGGGACCCATCTGCAATAGAATCCAGAAGTGAGTCCAGTTCATCTCCAAGAACTTCTCCTTCAGTGAAGTCATCTACACTGTCAGACTCTGGTATAGATGCCACATCTGTAGAAGGGAGCAGGTTAGTTGCAGGGAGTGATGTTGGCAGAGTTTTCGTATCCAAGTCGGTTGATGAAAAGGCATTGGATTTGCTGGCAGTGACAGAAGGAGCACTAGGAGTAACGATGCACTGAAGGACCACAGAGCTATCTGGAAGATTACGTATGAGATTACAGCTAAGGACCACCCATACATACATTGCAATCTAGAGAGTAAACAGAAAGCAATATATTTGTATATCTTAGCATTGACTATTCTGAGTGGTAGTTGTTCTCCAGAGACAGATGCTTATATCATCTTTTTTTTAAAGCCAAAGAGCCCAGAGTCAGAACACAGAACGTTCTGACTACAGAGTATTTCCCCTATTGCTCAACTAATAAACTCTCTCATCTTCAAAGCAAACTGTTCATCTTTGTGAAAAGATTCATTAGCCTATTTGCTAGAATTATACTCATAGAAACTGCTTCATGATGTCCAATTCAAAGACACTTTTCAGAATTACAAACCATTCTTATATAGATGTGAGTCAGATGTTTCTAGCAATGGCTCTATCATGACCACTATTCACATTTATAAACTGTATTGGTTGCATTAGTGAGAGCAATTGAAAGAACTGTGTTGACTTCTCAGAAAGAAAGGATTTGTCTTTTCCCAGGTATTTCCTGCTATTCCTGTTAGATGCCTTCGTGACAAATTGTGACAACCAAATATTTTGCAGATTTCTTTCTGAGAGCAAAACCTCTTCCGTTTGAGGGTGGTGGTGGTAATAACTATGAATCAAAGAAGCATAAATGCATCCATTACCTGTTTCAATGTCATCTATGGAGCCTAATCCATTGGTCTGCAACAGGAAAAAAAATCAAATCTCTTTTGACCAAATTCAGTTTCCTTTCCCATTTTTACAAAGAACTAATCTAGATGTATAGAAATGCAAGATTGGATTCTCTATGAAAAATGCTTCAGAATGAGAGTTGTACCTTTGTGATTGGCTGGATCCCATGATAATTAATAATTCTGCAGAACTGAATCGTTATCTTTTCATTTGGATTACCCCCAAATAGTTTATTCTTTTCTTTTTAATATATGAGACTGCCAGCTTTCAAATAGGGCAGGGCTCTATGCTTTCAATCACTGACATTTAGGTCTCCCTCAGCCCTAGGAAGAAGGCAGTAGCCAACCAACTTTGAAAATGTTACCTAGAAAACCGCAGGAATTCGTTATGACTATCACCAGTAGTCAATAATGCTTAGAAAGTTTTCTCTCTTATGAGATTGATTTCTCTCTCAAAAAGAACAGCCGAACACTAATTGCATGCTAAAAGGGCAGAGATTGCACTACATAAATTATTTAATTATTTCCATTTTTAACCCTAATTTACCAAAAAGACAATCATATGGGAGGCCTCTCTCTTTCACACATTAGCATTATGGGAACAGACACATTTTCTGGAAGACTGGTGGCAGTGAAATCTACCAAACTACTATCCAAGGGACAACAGATGGACCCATGCAGTGTAAACTAAGTGGGCTTTTAAAAGGCCAGATTTGAAACTTTCACCTTTTCAAGGTAAGCTTACTGTTACAAATTTAAGTCTATTTTACTTTTCATTTTATCCATCTTTATTTCAGGACAACAGATACTCAATTTTCCATTTGCATCTCAATTAAACTCAAATCTACTTAATTGCTATTCATATATGTCTAGACTGCGCCTTGAGTAATCGTAACAAATTCTCATTAAAAACAGTAAGAGGAAATCAATTCTTCCCAAATTACTCTATTGCTGTAAGATCTATAGGTAGTCCTCAACTTAGGACCACAAATGGGACCAGGACTTTGGTTGCTGAGTGATGCAGTCATTACACAAGTCACTTCTGATCTACACTCTTTTTTGCTGTGGTTGTTAATCAAATCACCAGGGCCATTCTGTGAGTCTGGCTTCTCTCAATGTATGTTTGCCAGAAATCCCCTGAAAAGGTTGCAAATGTCAATCATGTTGCCCTAAGACACAGCAGTTGCCAAACATCTGAATTTTGATCATGTGACCGTAGGGTTGTTATGACAGTTGTTAAGTGCAAGGATGAGTCATGTCACTTTTTCGGTGCCAACTGAATGGTCGTGAGTCGAGAACTCTCTGTAGTCAGCAAGAACTGTACTTGGGCCTGAAGCTTTAGAATTATTTTTCAGAAGTGAAAAGCAAAGAGCCAGCTCTTAAAAAGATATTTTTAATTCAAATCATATAGGCAGAGTTAAATCTTATAAAGACTGTGATGGTGTTATCTATCTCTTAAATACCTTCACTTTTAATAACTTTTTAAAATTTAAAAATGTTCAGAAATTATTTAGAAAATAAAAAATGCAGATATACACAGTTACATATATTTAGTTGTGAGTTACCCAGAGATTACTTTTAAAATGAGTGGACATATAATTGTTTTAAACAAACAAACAAACAAACAAACAAACATAGCTCACTCTCCTTCTGAGATTCTTGTCCACAAGGATGCCTGGAAACTTTGGCTAGCTGCATACTTCTAAATGGAGAACATTTATGTGCCCTTTAGGTGGGTGATGCAGCACTTCATCAACACAACATTTGCTGTAGCTACCTCTTGCCTTTTTTAATCCACATTTTTAATTATGAACTTTACCTAACAAATTATCACCCAAGCAGGAAAAAGTGTTATCCATTATATCAATTCTACTGTTTAAACAATAGCGATATACCTGATTTGGTAGGGCAGATGTCAGGCCATTACTCAGTACAGAAAATGTTTCTGAATCCTAAAAAGAGAGAAAGAGAGAGGAAGTAGCAGACATTTAAGACATCTTTTCAAAGAAATGTCACCTTTAATAAGGGAAAACTATATAAGATATACAGGTAACCTCGTTTGGCTGTACCCATATATACTGCCTATGCATAATCATTCAATGCAGACCATATATTTTCAGTTAATATTGGACACTGTAGGTATAAAATTATCTAAAAGATTCAAGCTTCAGGATTGGGGGTGGGGGGGGTGGGGGGGAATAAAGTATATTGTTGTCATGGGAAGTAGAATGCAAATATCATACCTGAGGCCTCTTATATGCTTTCCGGACTCTTAATCCCAGCTTCTGTGCAAGGTCCTGACCCAACTGGACCACACTTTCATCCTTCAGTAGAGAAAACAATTAGATTACAGATAGTCCTCAATTACAATTATTTCTTTCACAACCAAAGTTACAATGGCATCAACTTACAACCAGTAAGTGAGTTGGACCAGTCCTCATACTTATCACCATCGCAGCATTTCCAAGGATGTGTGATCAAAATTTCAAGTGCTTGGCATGCAGCATGTATTCACAATGACTGGAGTGTCCTGAGATTATGTTATCGCCATTTGCAACCTTACCAGTCCGCTTTCCACAAGCAGTCAATAGGTTGTTCTCTTTTGGCTGGATTTGCTTAACAAATACATTATTCACTTAACAACCATAGCAAAAAAGGTGGTAAAATTGGGTGTGACTCAGTTAACTGCCTTGCTTAGTAATGAAACCCTGATCCCAAATGTGGTCCTAAATTGAGGACTATCAGAATTTCAAGATATGGTTGGGCACAGATAATATAAAACTAATGTCATTATTTTATTGGCAGTGAAAAGTACAAAAAGTACATAATTTAATCTTGTATTATTTTCAATAATTATGGTTTTTTAAAGAAAGTCCATAGCATAGTTTTACCTAATTTTGAATTGTTCTATCCTTTGCTCTTTCAGTTCAACTGAACTCTGTTAGATAGCTCCCATTAATATTTTTTTAATAAAAAAAACCATTTAAAAAATCTTTTCATTCTTATGAAATGAATCTCTGCCACACTGTAAAATTAATTAGAAATTATAATAGGTACAAAATTTATAATGGTATGCTAGCAGATTTTTGTGCTCTAAATATTTCATTATATATCATATATCAATATAGAGTTTAATCACGATCACACAGATTTTATTCATTAGAACCAGATTTCAGACTTTTGTAACTTAATATTGCAGGCCCAACATGGTTAAATTAACTCTCAAACTGCAAGATAAAGAAGAAAAAGATAACTATACAGTATGGGACAAATTGTATCAGTGGTTAGAGAATAGAAATAATGAATGAAAGTAGAATATTGATATATGTAAATATTAAGTTATAAGAATTATAAATGTAAAGAGGAAATTGCAAATGAAAAACAAATGGAAAGTATATAAAATGCTAAACAAAAGGGGATATTATGGACGTCTTAGGAATGGGAAGAACGGAGGTTAGTTTAATTTTTATGTTTTGTTTTGTAAAAAGCTTCATAAAAATTACGTATGAAATGAAAAAAAATATCTTTGCATTCTTATAAATTGAATCTCTACCACACTGTAAAATTAATTAAAAATTATAATAGGTACAAAATTAGCAGATTTTTGTGCTCCAAATATTTCATTATATATTATATATCAATATAAAGTGTAATCGTGATCACACAGATTTTATTCATTAGAACCAGATTTCAGACTTTTGTAACTTAATATTGCAGGCATAAAGGATGTAACATTGTTATAAATATTTACAATACATTTGCTAATCCAACAGTAATTTGAACCAGAAACTCCATTGCTAAGTAATGCAGTTATAAGGCATGACATTTCATGACTGCAGTTCCAGCAATCCCAGTCGCCATCATTAGGTGAAGACTGCCCAGATGCAGCATCCTGGCGTCACCACTTACAACCTCCTGCCAACTTCCCCACTTACTTTGCTTAATGGAAGCTGGCAGTGAAGGCTACAAATGATGGCCACATGGCCACTGAACAAAAACACATCAAAGTTCCAGCTGTTGCACTGCATCAGCAGTCTTGTGAACAAAGTTCAGGAACTTGATAATCAGTGTGCGTTTATGACTGGTTGAAGCATCCCACAGTCCTGTGATAGCCGTTGCCAACATGCCAAATGTCATGCCAACATTCTCTGGTTTTCCACAAGAAAAGTTAATGGGGGAGCCAGAGGGAAGATCACCAGTCACTCAGGTAAGTCTTCCCACCAACCTTTCACATGCACACACTGCCACCCTTCTCCCCTCTGTACCCACATGTAGCATCCAGTGCCCTCCTTCTCTAATCTTCGTGTTCACACATAGGCACCTACACCCAAGAGGCCTCCTTCCTTACCTCTATGGGCTTGCACATAGACACGTGGCCACCAGCACCTTCCTTCCCTATGCCTCCCTGCACTTGCATACATGTACATGCCCTGCACCTTCTTTCCCAGCCTCCCTGAGTTCACCCAGCAAGCACTGGACCTACCCTCCCACACTCCTTGTCTGGGACTCCCTCCCTGCTCCTCCCTTAATGACCCATATGTCTTTTGGTTACAATGACAAATGAGACTACCCAGAATGCCATTGTTAATGAGGCAGTCACATGATATTGTGCTTTACAACCACATCACTCAGCAATGGCAATTCTGGTCGCAAGTGCTGTTGAAACTAAAGGACTACCTGTAAAATATGCTTCAACTCTAATATCCTTTTAGTCATTTAAACATCTACCTGTTTTTCTATTAATAATAGAAAATATTTAGAAAAGAGGAAATTGCTACTTACATGTGGGAGTGAGAGCAAACAGCGGCTGTTACATTCATAAGCTTCCTTGTGTCTTCCTAGCTCACTTAAGCAGCGGGCCTTCCGAAAGAGAGCACGGATGTTCTCCTTGTTGAATCCCAGAGCCTTCTCACTATCTTCTAAAGCCTTTTCATGTAAGCCCTTTTAGATAATTAATAAATGTGATCATGAGAACTTTAACACAAACAGAACTCTCACGTTCTTATCCCCAAAAAGAGAATTCTAATTAAATGACTACTCTTATGGATTCTTAGTAAAGGGTAAACTAACACTTTGGCATTTTAGGTAATAGATGGTAATAGATAGTATGTCTATGGAGATTCTCAGTGATCCAGGTCATGGTTTCCCCAAGGGTGCTTTTTCAAGAGGCAACTGGACTTTCCTGTTTTTCTTTGAAGATGTTTTGCTTCTCATCCAAGAAACATCTTCAGCTCTGACTGGATGGTGAGCATTGGAAGGATTTACCATATTTTTCGGATTATAAGACAGACCTTTTTCCCTTAAAAAAGAGGGCGAAAATCTGGGTGCATCTTATACACTGAATACAGCATTTTTTGCCTCCTGAAACCCCGCCCCTTCACCAAAGTGACCATTGGCTTACCTGAAGGGTCGTTCTCTGTGGGCTGCAAGAAAGTCCAAGCATGGGTTAAATTAGTCTGGTTGCCCAAGGACTCGAGTTCAAATTATTTGGCCATGCCTCCTGTTCCTCCTTAAGGTCAATATTTTAACGAGTCCTGGAACCGGAAGGTACAAAGAGATGGCATGGAGATCGTCTGGTGTCCCTGAACCATGGGCCCGCACGATATTTGGGTGGGGTTGGACTCTCCGCCCAGAAAACAACCTTTCAGGTAAGCAAATGGTCATTCTCCTGTGCGCTGCTTGGAGAGTCCAAGCATGGGACATATCCAAGTTAACTGTCTCCAGGGCAGGTAGAAGAGGCCAAGGGTTTGGCCGCAGAATGAACTTGCTGCAGCACCCGTCTGCCAAACAAAGCCTCAGCTGAGGGAAACATATCCAATTTATAGTTCTGGACAAACGGCGAGGGGGGTGACCATGTCCAAGCCCTCTTGCAGAAAGTCCAAGATGTGTGGCACCGAGGCAGTGACCGGGTTGAGGGCACGGGTGGACCAGTGGCAAAGGTGGCCCAAGTTGAATCACAGATCCTGGTGGTTGAGGGCCTCCTGGCCGCCTGGATAGTTTGGATCACCTTGTCAGAAAACTTGTCCCTCCTCAGGAGGTTCCCCTCAAGTGCCAAATGGCCAATTGAAGCTATCTGGGGTCTGGGTGAACGATGGCACCCTGGCTGATGGAGACCTGATCCTGAGGGATGTGCCAGGGATTCGCCACTGAAAGACTTACGAGGTCGGCATACCAAGACCTCCTGGGGCAATGAGGTGCCACTAGGAGAATCTCCGCCCCTTCGGCAATGATCTTGTGAACTACTTGTGGAAGCAGAGGAAGAGGTGGGAAGGCATACAGAAGTTCAGGTGGCCACCTGCAGCAGAGGGCATCTGTCCCCTCCGCCTGGGGAAAGTGGAAATGGGAGAAGAAGCAGGGAAGCTGCGTGTTCTCCTGGCTGGCGAAAAGGCCGACTGTTGGAACCCGAACCTCAGTGTTATTTGGTGAAAGAGGTCCGGATGCAGGCACCACTCCGAATTATCTATGGTGGTCCTGCTCAGCCAGTCTGCTTGAGTGTTGTCCACTCCCGAGATGTGGTCCGCCTGAATCGACTGGAGATGTTGTTCCACCCACCTGCCCAGGGCCTCTGCCTCCTCCATGAGGGATGGGGAGCGCTTTCTCCCCTTGGCGGTTGATATGGGCCTTGGTGGCCACAATGTCTGTCATTAACAAGACATGGCCATGTTGAATGTCCCAGCTGAAATGGCGAAGGGCGAGTCTCACTGCTCTCAGCTCCAACCAGTTGATGCTGCAGGCTGATTCCTCTCGAGACCTGCCCTGCGTCACCTGATTGTTGAGGTGAGCGCCCCAGCTGGACAGGCTGGTGTCTGTAGTTACAACTAGCCGCTCCGGTTCCTTGAACAGGTGGCCCTTCTTCACGGCTGGAGAAAGCCACCACCAGAGGGAGCACCTCACCTTCGGGGGAAGTCAGACTAATATGGGGAGCTGCTCTTGTTGGCCCATTGTAGTGGTAATAAGAGCCACTGGAGTACCCTTGTTTGGAGCCTTTCCCATGGGACCACTGATATGCAAGAAATCATCTTGCCCAATAACTGGGACAGATGAATGACTGGCACCTGCCTTGTTCCCTGCACGAGGATTAGGGCGCCTAGGGTGTTTAATCTTTCCTGTGATAGGTGAACCTTGCAAGCTAGGGTATCTATCTCTGCCCCTAGGTGCAGGAGCCTGGTGGTTGGATCCAAGTGGCTTTTCTCAAGATTTACGGAGAAGCCGTGTGCCTGAAGGCTGCTCATGGTGGCATGGAGATCGCAGACCGCCTGTTCCCTGGATGATGATTGAATGAGGATATTGTCCAGAAAACAGATTAGTCTCACCAGCTTCCTTTTGAGGTCTGCTGCCAAAGCTGAGAGAATTTTGGTGAAGGCCCTGGGTGCTGACGACAGGCCGAAAGGCATGGCCCTGTATTGATAGTGTCAGCCCGCATAAAGGAATGGGGCCGAATTGGTATGTGCAAGTATTCCTCCTTTAGGTCTACAGATGTGAGTAGATCAGTTGTAGTAGAATGGTTTGCAAGGACTGCATTTTGAACCTCCTGTACGTTACATGGTAGTTGAGGTTCATCAAGTCTAATATTGCTCGCCACCCCACCCCCCAAGCTCTTCGGCACCGGGAATAGGATGGAGTAAAATCCCCTCCGTTCCTGCTCCACTCGTACAAGCTCTATGGTATTGATTTCCAGGAGATGTTGAATCTTCTTATGCATGAGCTCCCTCTTGGTTGGGCAGGAGGGAGTGGGGCAGCGAATGAAGTTCCTCGGGGGAATGGAAATGAACTCGAGGGCGAGGCCCTGCCTCACTGTCTGTAGGACCCAATAGTCCGACGTGGTGAGTTCCCATTGGTTGGTGAACTGCTGGAGGCGCCCCCAATGGGAGGAGTCTGAGAGGCTCCTTCTCAGTTAGTTCTATGGTAGGGATAATGTTGTCTGCTTCTATCAGAAAAAGGACTGCTTGTCCTGAGACCTGTCAGAAGGTTGGGAATATGGTGTGTGAAATGTCAAGGCATTGAAGGACACCTCAGATGGCTGAAAGGATTGACTTCTAAGTAAGGTTGGGCCTTTCTATCCTGCTTCTTGAAACTGGTGGAAAGAACCTTTCTCTTATCCTTGGATTTGACCAACACCAAATCCAAGGTCTCCCCAAACAGCTTGTCACCTTTAAAGGGGACAGCGGCCAATTTCCACTTTGATTTCATATCTATTTGCCAGTGGTGAAACCAGAGAAAGCGTCGAGATGTTACATTAGACGCCAGTGTCCTGGAAGCAAATTTTGCCGCATTTAATGAGGTGTCAGCTGAATACTGGGCCGCTGCAATAATCGTATTCACGTATTGACGGAGACGTGTGTCCTCTGCTGGTAATTTAGCTGGCAGGTCCTTTAACCAAAGGATGGAAGCCCTATTAAAGAAGGAGGCAGAAGTAGAGGCCTTAATGGCCCAGGCTGCAACTTGGTGCATTTTATGGCAAGCCTTCTGTCTTCTGCCTTGAGACACTCGATAAGGTCTGCTGGAAGAACCAAATTAGATGTTAAGGAGACCACCGGAGGGTCTACAGGGGGCAATTTGAGAACATTTTGCAAATTCGCCTCCACTGAATAGAGTCTCTTATCCCCTCTGCGGCCAAGGCTGCACACATAACCACTGAGTTATCAGGGGATAAATCTAAGGCCTTATCCTCCTCCTCCAATTCCTGCAGGGGAGCTGGGTGATTAACAGGGAGAGATCCCTCTCCTCCTGAAGCCTCGCAGATCTGCCTTGTCGCTGAGCCACTGGGGCTGCTTCGCCTGAGGCCTTGCCCTTGTCTGCTATCCTGCTCCTGCCTTTGGCCTTTCCCCTGGTATTGGCCCCCTATATTTGCTGATCAGAAGGTTGCAAAAGGTGAACACATGAAACGGCAACACTGTTCATAATTAAAAACCAATTGCCAAGCATCCAAATTTTGATCATGTGATCATGGGGATGCTCCAACAGTCGTTAAGTGTGAAGAATAAGAAAAATCACTTTTTTGATTGCCATTGTAACTTCAAATGATCACTAAATGAATGTTGTAAATCGAGGACCGCATAGAACTTCCATCTTACAAAGACCCAAGAGAAAAATTAACTATGTCACCTTGCCATTTGCTCTGATCAAATTATTTTCCTCTTTGTTTTCAAGTTTTATGGCTTGGAATGTGAATGTGCAAAAGTGGCCTCCCCTTCTTCCATCTTCTAAAGGTCAGAATCATGCATCCAGTAATTTTCTTTGTGACATTCTATGGATGTGAAAGTTGGATTTATCAAGTTATTAAGTATAAGTATCCCTTGCTAACTGAACACTCATTCAGCAACCACCTGAAGTACATAATTTGTCCTCAAAATTACAGGTTCTGAAGCTTCCCTGTGGTCATGTGATTACACTTTGGACACTTGTTAATAGGCACACACATTTGCAATGTTTGCAGAGTCCCAGGGTCACCTGATTGCCATTTGCAATCTTCACAGTTTCTGACCAGCAAAGTCAATGGGGAAATTGAGAGGAAGTCAGAAGTCGGTTAAATGATGCTGCACTTAATGATCCACAGGGATTCACTTAATAACCACAGCTAGGACTGACAAACTGATGTTGTAAGTCAGGTGCAGTCACATGGCATTTTACTTTATAATGGTGTCGCTTAGTAGCAGAGTTGATGGTCGCAATTGCAGTCAGTAAGCCACAAGTTCCTGTACACAGATATATGACATAGTCAAAGGGGTACTCACCATAGCAAAGTAGCAGGCAGCTCGATTGACATGGAGTTTGCATAAAAGATCCGCAGGAATGTTCACTTCATCTGAAGCGGCATATTCGGACACATTCAACCCTTCAACATACTGCCCCAGTGACAACTTATAATCCTTCTCTCTGAATAAATCATTGCCCTCTGCAAGTAAGTTTTGCACCAATTTTTGTAAAAAAGCCTGTAGGGAAGAGTAGGATTCAAAACTTAATAATTACTTTCAAGGCTTTCACTTATGGTACTTTCCACAACATTTTAATATATTCTTCTTTGCAGTAATGGCTCAATAGCACTAAATAATCAATTGTACTACTCTAGTCTACCTACCATATTTTTCGGAGTATAAGACACACTCCCCCCCCCCCCAAAAGAGCATGGAAATGTTGGTGCTTCTTATACATCGAATACAGCCATTTTTGGTCTCTCAAAGCCCCGCCCCCGGATCCCATTTTTGTGAAAAATGGTCCATTTTTCACAAAAACGGAGGCATTTTTGTCTCCCCCCTATCCCCCAGAAGCACTCTGCAGGCTTCAGCAGACCTGGGAAAAGGCAAAAATGCCCCCATTTTTGCAAAAACTGGCCTGCTTTCCACCCTTTTGCAAAAAAAGGAGGTGTTTTTACCTTCCCCCAGCCCTGCTGAAGCCTGAAGAGTGCTCATGGAGGCCAGGGAGGACAAAAACTTTTTTTTCTTACTCTTCAAAAGCTTGGTGCGCCTTATACATTGCCTTATACATGATGCTTTTATTACACAATAGAGACCAAAAATCCCAAGTTTTTTAGTGTGGCACAATAGTGCTATTAAAATCATTTCATAAACCATTTGCATCCTGAGATATGAATTGACAGAATCATCTTTGGTTGTTCAAAAAGCCTCTGGAACAGCGGTTGAAAATCTAGTGGATGTACAAGTCATTCAAACCTCAGAGCCATTAGGAAAGTGGGTTCCTCTAATAAACAAATTTCTGATTTAAAAACTGGAGTACGTACTTTGCTTGACTGCCTGAAGCACCAAGCAGTCTCCATACTGTAGATACTGGGTTTCAATTATTCTTCACATTTTATAAAATGATGAGGACAGTGCTCAAGAGAAAGAAGAAAAACAAGGAAAGGGAAGGAATACGTAGGGTCTGCTCTGCCTAACAACATCCAAACAGAAGGCTCAGGTGCATTGAGCATTCAGCTTCTAACATATACTGAAACCCAATATTTTCTTCAATCAATAGTAACTTGTTTGCTTTAGTTGATTGATCGGATTTTTCAAAATACTGCGTATTTGATAGTTGTCTTATTTTTCTTATACAGTAGTCTAACCTAGTGGCCCCCAACATTTTGAACACCAGGGACCAGTTCCATGGACTGGGGAGTGGGTGAATGTTGTTCCATGTGCTGCCTGAATCCCGCAGATGGGGCTTCACTTGTTTGCACGGCCCAGTTTCTGGCATGCCGCAGACCGGTGCTGGTCCATGGACTGGGGGTTGAGGACCCCCGATTCTAACCCTAACCCTACAACCATTTAAAGTTATAATGGTGCTGAACAAATGGTGGTTATAACAAGTCCTTGGAACTCCAGCTGTCCTAGCATCCCTTCATCCCACATCACAATTGGGTGCTTGCACTTATCACCATGTTCATAACCACTGTCACTTGTGCCCTTCCCTGCTGGATTGCTGTCACTTTATAACCATATCACTTTGTAATAGAAATTCCAGTCCCAATTGCCATTCTAAGTTGAGGTCTACTTGTATTTGCAGTGGCATCATTGGTTTAAAAATGGAATTTCTCATTAAAATCATCCAAAGGAAGAGAATATGTGTAGCTCAGGGATGAATCAAGGAGAAAATCTAATCAAGGAGCCAGGAGTGGCAGGACAAGGTATTATATATAAGCAGGGAATAAATCTGACACTCACTAGCACTGATGTTACTTAATCAGGTAACAAAACACTGCAAGCAAACAACTAAGATCAAACAACACCAAAGATTCCACATTAAAACCATCTTCATTTTGATCTTTTTCATTTCAGGATGGGCACAAGAATTGTTACATTCTAAATTTCTGACTCTGAATAGGAAGATCCAAAGCTTTCTTTTCTATTTTTCCTACTGGGCTGAATGAAAAAAAAATCCTTGTCAGAAAAGTCTTAGTTCAACTAAGCCAGAAGATCCAGTCTAATTAATAACAACTTAATCCAAACAGCAGAATTTTTTTTTATCTGCCTCTGTATTTTGATGCTTCTTCCTCAGGTCTATACTCTTTTCTCTGCTGTATTTCCAAAAATGCATAAACTTTTTTTTAGCAGGGCCATCTTATTACTGATCCTACACTTCATACGTGCTTCACTATTACTGTGTATACTTTTGTTCTGCAGTTAAGATTGTTGTGTTTACCGTATTTTCACGACCATAAGCCGCACTAAAAATCCTAAATTTTGATCCAAAATCGGCAGTGCGGCTTATAACCC